CAAATTGCTTTAAAACTGTAATTATATCAATAAAACATTGTGTTCAACTGATGTGTAAGTGTGCAAGTGTAGTAGCATTTCATTTCAATCAACAAAAAACATGGATGGGGTGGGGGAGAAAGAAAAAATCAGAGAATTTGGGATTTTTAAACAAGGAAAACCAGGATCCCAGGTAATTACCTTGTTTGGATGTGCCCCTGACTAAATCATCTTATTGTTCCTCGGTTCCCCTCACACCACCCTTAGAGCAAAACAGTTTCTATTCCTTCAGTTATGTTTTCTCATTGCTCACCGCCACACAGGGGAAAAAAAGAAGTGTTTTGCATTCAAAAGCTTATCTAACTCTATCCCAACTTTGCAGTTGGTCCAATAAAAGATGTCACCCTAAAAAATCTTTGCCTCCATTAAAAAAAATCTGTACAGCAAACATTCATAAAAACCTGTTTGCAACTGATCTAAAATGAAAAAACACAATCCTTAGATATCCAAACTGATTATTCTCCAATAGGATAAGAAAAACATTTAACATATCAACAGATAAATCTAACTAGCAAAAAGAACCTAACACTGCAATTCTGGGTTTTCTATTGGCATACCCAACAGTTTTTTATTATCAGTCTGTTACATTTTTTAACTGCTTTGAAGACAAAATACTGAAATGTTTTTCTATTTAGCATGGAGAGAGACCTATAGTCTTTGCCTAAGATGATAAAGACACAGTAGTTGTCCATATTTTTACTGAGTTCCCATAGAAATTTTAAATCAGTGATTCTCAATCAGAGTGCTGTAGCAACCTGGTGTGTCATGGATCCTTTCAAGCGTGCTGCGGAATGCCATTTAGCAGCCTTGGGTGTGCAAACATGATTTTGCAAGATAAACCCAGCGATTTCAAATAGAATCTATACAGTTAAAAAAAATGACTTGCTGTGGTCTTTGCAACAGAATAATTACTTGATTATCTTTCTGTAGTCAAAAACTAAGTGAAAGCTAAGAGTGGACATTTTCCAAAGGGTGCCTCAAGTCTACTGAAGGGGTGTCTTGAATCTATCAAGGGTGATTTAAGTCTGAAAAGGCTGAGAACCAAAGTCATGGTGAGAACTTGTCAAGTTAGACTTTTTCAGTGTTTTGAAGCTCTGATCATAAGAGAGCCTTTACCCAGTAACTATCAAGGCTGTGTGTAAAACTATAATCCCCATATTAAACCCCCCCCCCAAAAAAAAAACAAAAAAAAACTCAACAACCCATAATAAAATCTTACAATGGAGGTCCTCTGTTCAAGGCTGGTTGATAATTCATTCTGACACACTAGCTCAAGAATAACTTTTATTAAGAAGAGAAAAATCCTAGCTGGAAAACTGAAACTGCTCCTGTTGGTTTTTATTTAGTTGTTTGACTGTAGTGAAGGGGTTGTGACTCACAAAACCAAGGCACTGCTCCAACTCTTGTTACTGGCTTTACTGAGGCCATGTACAGGTAGGTGTTAGGTTTCCACTGGGAGAACTGCAGCTCTTCCTGTAGAAACCATGAGCATACAGGCATTCACACAGGTTTTTCCAGAACACAAATGGTGGTTCCGAGGGAATAATAACCCATCCCCAATTCAGTCAAGTCACTCCCAGGAGAACATGTGCCTGTACACTAACCCACCACCTGCCTCTCTCTGGAGACCAGGAGTTGAGCACAGGGAGTCCAGTGGCAAGGAAAGGTTACCATGCCTTCCAAAGACCAGGGACAACCCTTATTTGGAGAAAGCCTGGGAGGTAACTGCCATCACCCCTGCTGCAGACCTGGAGGGGAGGGATGGAGCAGCCACATCTTCCTCCATGCCTGCTCCTCAGACCGGGATTACCAGACTGAAGAGCAGGCAGTTGGGCTGCTACTCTGCTTGGCTATCAGCCACTAGAAGTTAAGTAGATGAGCAGCTGCTTCTTGTTCCCCATCTGCTCCTAAGACACAGGTCCCTGATCTGAGGAGCAAACAGGGGGTTTTGCCGATTGTTCCAATCCCTGGGAACTAGTTGGGAATGCAGGAGGAAGGCAAGTGGGAGGAACTGGGGAAATGGGGTGGTTGCCAACTGAATGCCTGCACTACTCCCTCTCCCAGAAACATTTCTAACACTGGAAAAATTTCCACCAATAGAAAGAAATACGTTTGTGGCCTGAGAACGTGGCACAGAGCTAAAGCAATTTGTTTCCTCACCTGTAAAAATGGGAACACTTGTATTTACCTCTATGCAGTTTGTCAATTCCTTACAAAAAAAGCATCACGTAAAAATCATTGCTAATGGATTTCTCATAGTTTGCTCAGGGGTTTGTTTGGGGGGGGTGGGGTTGGTTGTTTGTTTGGGTTTTTGGGCGGGGTGGAAGATGGTTTAAGTGGTTTCTGCTGCAACTTCGTAACATCATTCTAAAGAAACCTGTCTAAGCAAGGTAACAGGCATTTCATGTTTAAACACACTGTGCTACTCTGTTCACGTTACCCACCAAAAAGCAAGCAGTGTAGCTACCTTCACACAGCACTGACAGTGGGCTAATCAGTTCTCAAAGTAGACAGCCCGACCTTCCAGTTCTAGAGGTAGTACAGTGAGAGTAGCACAGTACATTTCAGCGCAGCACTGACTGACACCGTAAGTTATTGCTACAGACATGCACTGTGAAACCATACACATCACAATAATCCATCATTTCACTGAGTAATTCTGGATGCATCCAGTACTTTACTCGAGGCTCTCACTGCTCAGAAAACCCAATATGGAAACAAAACAAGTAACTGGACTGGGACAGAGTCCTTATGCAGCAGCAAAGAAATCAAACTTCTCATGAACAACCCAAGAAGAAACAATTGTTAGTTTAAACTTCATACCGCTTACCAAATCCTAAATCCATTGTTAAGGAAGACTGATAGAGCTAGCTTATAAAAACTACTAATGTTTTTGTATTCTCCTAGTTAATTCATTTTAAAACTCATTGCAAATTTCCTTATTTTTCCAGCCATTGTCATAATGAGTGTCACCATGTTAGAGCAAGGATTACTACCACAGCAAATGAAGGATCTATTATTAATACCCCATAAAATTGCAAATAAAGATGAACCCATTAGAGGTTCCATGCGTAACCAATCACTTGAGATAAATTCTAGCTATTAAACATATTTGCAAACCAATTTCTAGAGAGCTTTGGAAATCTAATAAGGGCTGATCTTCCACATCTTTGCCCATTATAGACTCAGAAACACTACTGCTGCTACTACTGAGAAGTTTCTAAGGGCCATCAAAATCTTTAGACTACAAGAGTTATCCACAGCTCTGACTTGCAGCATCTTGCAACCTAGAGAAAGACACTGCTTGGTTAAATGTGGGGAGACAGCCAGCACTTACTAAAAATACACACTTTCCAGATAGATTTCAAAATCTCACGCTGAAAACATACATCTAATTTTGATATTTCTTTCTACTGTGCTATATTTTATATAAACAGAACTTGAACGAAGAACCAACAAGATACATGCCCGCATGGCTGTGTGACAAGTTTTCCAAACAGCCACATACGACTAAATTATGGTGTTGCCAACTCTCATGATTTTTGGCGTTGTTCTTAACATCTATGCTTTGGGAATGTGAAAAACTTAGCTTTTTCTTTTTTTGAGAGAGAAGAAAAAGATAGAGAAGAAAAAAAGATATGTTTTTCACATTCCCAAAGCGCAGACATTAAGAACACCACCAAAAATCATGAGCGTTGCCAATAATGAAATTAGACCTATTCTCCAAAGAGCGATGAGATCTGTGGACTAACATCAGTTATACCTTCGTTTCTGTATGCATGCTCCCTTTTCACCATAGATTACGGTCTCCTTCTCCTCCATACCGAGTCCCATCACGTTCCTCCCCCGCTTCTCCCGTCCCCTGTGCTACTAGCACCTGTAGCGTTTACAGTCTCGGGCACTACATGATCAACTTCTGAACCGTGCCAAAGGCGCCAGTTTACAACCCGCTCCTCACGGCAGCTTGACAAGCGCGAGGAGGAGCAGGGACCGGGCGCCCGCGGCCCCGAGGACTGTCTGCAAGACCCAAGCGTCGGCCGTGGCGGCCCCTCCCCGGCGGGCGCTCGCCCCACAGCCGAGCCCCCGCTGCCGTCGGCCGCGAGGGGAGGGACGGGGACCGGAGTTGCGCCACCCCGCAGGCCCCCACCAACGGGACAGGCCGCAGCAGCCGGACCGCGCCCGCCAAGAGCCCAGGCCTGGCCAGAAGCGGCCGCCCCCCGCAGGCCACCGCCAGCCTCACCTACGGGCCGGACCGCTCCCGCTCTGCCGCGCTCCGGGCCGCGATGAATCAGCCGGATTTCATTCAAACCGAGGCCGCCCGGGCCTCCCCCAAACACATCCGAAGGCAAAGGGCACCGCGCCACTTCCCTTCCCCTAGCCAATAGCGTGGCGGGCCCAGAGCCATGGCAACGCAGTCCCGCCCCCACCTGCTGGCGAGGCAGTGGAAAGCCCGGCGCGCGTGGGGAGACGGGGATTGGGTGCTGCTCCTGCCCGTCTCCGCCCGCCCCGCCCCCGGGTAGTCCTGCCCCTCTGAGGGCGGACGTGCAGGGAGCCGCTCTGCTGAGGTCAAAAAATAGAGCTTGGTGTCACGAGGTAGAAGCGCGGCACGATACAGGCCCCGGCTGCCTTTCGGGGTGGGGGCAGCTCAACGTGTGTTGCTGGAGCACATCCCATCTGCAGGAGGATGTGACTGGGGGAGAGGCAGGGAAGAGCACCCAGAGTTACCATAGTGGGGTTGGTTGTACCCGTGTTGGTCTAAGGACATCGGCAGACACGATTCTTTGGGTAGATGTGATCTGTTTTATTACACGAACTAAATAGCTGGAAAAAATTGTTCTTTGCAAGCTTTGGGGCACAAAGAAGGGTGTTTGTGACACAAAGCTTGCAAAAAACAATTTTCCCTACTATTTAGAAAATTAACAGAGGCATCCAGGAGGGATATATGCTTGTAAAGAAAGATAAAAGGCTTGTTTGCCTTGCAAAGGAGAGGGGAATAAAACAGAGGTAAAATAACAGGTATTCTTCTGGGAAGTAGACAGTAAGATGGGAATGTTTGTTACATTTAAAGATGGACATTCTGAACTGATAAATGCACTTTTTCCCCACAGGGTGTATTGATTAAATCATGGAGCTCACTGTTGGAGGCAATTGTCAAGGCCTTTGTTGGATCAGAAAGCAATCTGGGTGTTTAACTCCAGATTTACCATAATTAGCAACACCTTTTGGAAGGGAAAAGAATGAATTTTCTTTAAAATGTATGGTAGTGTCTGCCAGTGTCAAGAAACTCGATACTGGACTTGATGGATGAATTCAAGATGGCAGATGTCACATGTTCCTAGAACTGTATTTATGATTTCAGTAGTGCATTTGAAAAAAACAGTATTATAATTTGTGGGATTTTTTAAATTTGAACCTATGGAACTGGAGAAGGCTCTACATCTCCCAGGATGGAGAACTAGATGGAATCAAAGGAAGAGAACTTCAGTGGTCCCAGGAAGATACATTAGGATTCTTCTGTAACCATTTCAGCCGCAACCTTGTACTTTTGAGACTTCCCTGACAAGACCATAGCTTTAATACTAGGGACTTAGTACAGTGATAAGCATGATACAAATGAACAGATAAATACATTTAGCTAATAGGCAGAAGGCAGAGTAGCTTGACACATTGTAGACTAACTAGTTCAGAGAGACAAGTTTTTGTAGGCCTGTGAACCTAATTAAATTGAGGAGGTACAGAGTTTTGAAAGAAAAGGCAAAAAAGTGCATCAAACAACGTAGAAAAGGTTAATACAGATTTTGTGTAAAGCTGAAATTATTTCTTATTTAGTTTGAGTTGTTTCTATCTATCTGATGTTTTCTTAAGGTAATATGTTTGGAACCAACTTGGCTGCAGCACCTGCCAGAGCAAAGCAAATCACCCATTTGGATCCAAACGTACTGGCATCTGCCTTTTCTTTGGATTAAATCAGCAAGGCTGAGAGGGGGTCAGTAATGTGTGGGCAGCTCAGTGTTGCCATATAACCAATGCTGCCCAGGCTTTTGTACCCTGGAGAAGTCACTCCAGCTTCACTTTATTTTCAAACGAGAATTATGTTCCATGAGCTGATGTCTCACTCAGCATAATTCTATTGTCTTGTGAGACAGACAGATACCTACTATATAAATTACTAATAGCCTTACCCTCAGTTTCTTAGTTCCCTTAAAATATACCAGTCCCACCCAAAAGAAGAACTCAGTCAAATTTAGAAGTATTATGAGGATATTAAACATATTATATGGATGTTTATGACCCTCCTTGGCAATGTTTAGTACTGCCGATGGCAATTTGCACTAGTAAGTAGGTAGATCAGGTGTATGTGACAGATAAATTGGAGCCTGAAATGAACATTCTATTTCTGTAGATACCTGCATTAAAAAGTACTGTCTCCAAACTGCAGATTTTTACAGGACTTTCTTGAAATTTGAACACATTTTAGCTAGTTTCATGACAATGAGGTAAAATCAGAGGTATGTCTTAAAAATTGATTCAGACGATAATAGAATTTGCACTTTGTTTCAAAGGGATTATTAAAAATTTCACCTATTTAACCTAGCAAAGATTAGCGTCTGTACTCTTACTATGAAAATGCTAAGAAACTTAGAATTTTCTATGTGGTCAAAAGCAGATTTAAATAAGTGATCAAAGGTTAGTTCTTACCTCTAGGATTACAAGAGAAGGATGGACTTTTAATTCAGGAGAAAAAAAAATCTTATGCAGAGTTTTATTTTATAATGCACCTGAGATTAATCCCTGATAGTTCCAACACTCTATTCAGATTAAGCACCATAAAAAACTAGATCCTTAATGTATGTAAATCCATTTAGATCAGTTGACTTCTATGGAGCTGTGTCAGTTTGCATCATTTTAAGATTTGGCCCTTCATCTTTAAAATACAAAGTGAAAGCAGACTTTCATTGTTATTCTTAATTACATTTCAAGTCATAGTATTGACTTTTTTGAGATATACATTTATTGAAATTTTATAAATAAATATAGATACAGAAGAAGAAAAAAGAGAAAATAGGAGAAATATTTACATTAGAAAGTACAGTGAATTAATTGGATATATACAGCCAGTACCATAGTTGGTACTTATAACAGATGGTATTTTATATTTTGATATAAAAAAGATATATTCTTAATCATATATGTCAAAGAAAAGAGACCATATGTTGTTAGATACTTCCAAATTGTCATCTAATATGAAGGGCACTCTCTTGAGTGCTACCAAATCCTTTATTGGTGTGGTCTAACCAGCAGTAGTCTATTGAAGTTTTTCATCTCCATATACTTATTGTTCAGCCTAGCATTGCAATGCTAAGTAAAAACACTAAAAAAGGAATGTTCCTTCTTTTTTGTATACACACACATACACATAAATTAGAGGCCGACTGTTGTTAACTCTTGTAGTAGATTCATGGTTCTGAAATGTGGACTACATATGCTAGGCACATCAAGACTGAACAGCTTTCACATAAGTTGTCTGAATGAGATGTGAAAATAAAGTAGGAAGATAAAATACCAAACATGGAGGTACTAGAGTATGCAGGACTAACACATTTAGAAATTGCTGTCAAGAAGAGGTTGTGATGGATTGGTCATGTCAAGAGAATGGAAAGAGACCATATCCCCAAGAAAATGTTGTATAGCGAGATTCAAGATGGCTCTAGAAAGCAGGGTCACCCTCTATGGCAGTACTGAAATGTGTGCAAAAATTACATAAAGTTATTCAACATCACTATAAAAAGCTAGGAGGAACTCATAAAATCTTGTCCGATCTAGAAGGAACATCTGGCACTGGGTGCGGCTTAACACGAAGCAGCTTTGATCCAGAAGATGAAAGCAAAGCAAGAAAGAAGAAAGCAGTGTGCTGTAAACTTAGACTCCAACTCAGACAACATAATGGATCTGTGAAACTTGGAACAAATGGTGTCTGTCTCAAATTGGGCTTGTCAGTTACAAACAGACTTATCAGGCATCTAATTAGACCTCTTAGTCCACCATGATCCAGAGGGTTGACAGTTGCCTGCTTAGAGATTTTAAAAAACATGTTTGGGAAGAGACCTCTTTAATTTCTTGTATTCCCCTGTCAAACCATCCTGTGATGTAAGGTGCTTTAAGTGGGGTTCCCTGAGAGATGTACTACCCATCGGGTGTGGAGCCCCTCCCCTCAACTTGCCTGCCATGACTTGATGTTATTATATAAAGAGAGGGTTCAGTGGTCTTCTTCCTGAGGGGGCTCCCTGGGGATGGCAGTACTCACCCTGTCCACTCGCCAACTGGATGTGCGCCAGCAAATGGTGATTCGGTCATGCTGGCTCAACCACGACTTGTCTCGAGGGGGACCCCATGTCAGAGTGGGTTCTGTTGGTGCTTGTCAGGCTGTCTCTTCTGCTTCATCGAGTAGCCTTCCCTTCCTAGATACTGGCAAGCTATATGTGCAAAAGCTGGCGCCTACTTCAGCGCCTCTGAGTAAGGCGCTTTGCTCTTACACCTCTTCTCTCTCTCTTTTTTTTTTCCTCAAAAGAAATAGACCCCTGGGGAGGAGAGGGGTATGGAGTTGCCTCCTTTCCCCCAGCCTCCTACAGGGGGTTCAAACGCCTCCCCTGCTCTGCCTGCCAGCGTTGCACCGGCTGTGCTGCTCCTCTCTGTTGCAGGAGCCTCAGCACGTCTGGAGTGCTCTATGCCAGCGTGCTCCCTCTCCACCTCTCCTGCTCCCCGCATTCCGGTGGGGCTTTTAAATCTTCCTGTGGTGGCAGGAATGGCTGCCGCGATTGGCTCAACTGTTCCCCACCCAGGAAACAGCTGATTAAACAGCTGGCGTAATGCTGGCTTGCATGGCCCCAGTTCCTGCTCCGGCTCTGGCTGCCCAGCGGGAAGTAAGTTTCCCCTGCAGGGGCACTGTTTGTGGGGTTTGGGGCCCATGGGGACTACCCTCTTCCCTTCGGGAGCCTGTGGGGGTGTCTCACCACCACACATCCCCAGTTCTTTTGGGTGTTCTCGTAATGACCAGTTCTCTAAACTAAAAGTGCATGAGGTGACCCAGACAAAGATGGGACAGACAAGAAAGCTGTTCATCATTTCCCAAAATTCAAGGATACTAATTCCCATATATAGCCATGCACCAACTCTATCCTACTTCCACTTCAGTCACTCTGAGTTTTCCACCCACATTCTACTTGAGGTGCCATTAAAAACAAAGAGTCCAAAAGCTCTATGCAGAGAAAGTCTATTATAGAACACAGTAGTCCTTGTACAAAGTTGGCAACAAGGAAAAATTCTAAT